AGATATTTATTTAAATTTTGTCAGTGGCTAACCGTGACAGTACCCAAAATGATAAGGTAGGTCAAAAATGTATTTCTTTGCAGGTCGAGTTAGGAAGGTTCGTTTTTTGTTGCAGTGCTCTAAATTTCAAAGAGAACAAGAGATTAACAAATAACGAACTTAACGCAAGGAAACTTGTAAGAAAATAAACAGGAGGCTTTGTTTCAAATAACGACCAAGTTCAAGGGGAAATTTTTATACTTACTCAAAGCGTTTCCCTAGTGTAACAATGGTCCTTTTCCTAAACCTTTGTCAAATAGCCTTCAGTTACAAATGTCACCTCAGTTTGTCGGTTAAAAGATAGTTTTATTATTATAAAGCCTCTTCGCCCGATAAATTATGGTACTTAGTATCTTGAAGGTAATTGGAGGGGATTTTGAAAAAAGGGTTTGGGAACTAAGAACATGGTTGGTTTCGAAAGGTGAGACTCAAGGCTGTAGAGCTGCCTAGATGCTTGCGGGTCATGCGTCTAACCGCCAAATTATGTCTGAACTGAAACCGTAAACATTCGTAGAAGACAAGAACAAAAAGAGGTTTTTAGCAGATCGATTGTAAACAGGGGTGGCGGAAAGGGGAGTTCGGCGGTTCAGCCCCCCTCAACAGGTGTGCACATTTATTTTTTAGACAAATTCTGTGTTGGCAACCTTCAATCATGCTATAGATTTTCCTTAAGTGAGCAATATCTATCTTATCAGTCTTTTTGGCTCTGTGAATAATTTGAATGATTTCATATACGCAACAGAAGCTCTTTAACACTGACGCAAATAAATTAGGTGCGGTTATGGATGTGGTCATGGGTGTGGCTTCTAGAAATTGCCTACTGGAAAGCCCCCGCGCCTAGCTTTTAAGGAGAGCACCCCAAAAGGAAGCCTCCGAGCAAGTTAGTTCTCCACCTTCAACAACTGGTTATGATATGTCCAGCACCATCGCACGCAGGCAAGGATGTCTCTCTGAGGCTCTGGCACCCAGGGTAGCAAGGGGGCAAAACCCTTGAAACTTTTTAGTTCCTCGTTCCCGTGTCCTACTGCAACCCGAAAGCTAATGCTATTTGCTGAAACAATCATCACACACCTTTTGCACTGCAACAATGCTTATTTTGCCTTTTTCTAAAAAGCCCGTTCCAAGTCATGAGTGAAGATTCTGTCACGACTTGAGTAGAATTACCCATTGTCCTCCCCGGAAACAAGAACCACATATATCTAGCCCTTCGTTTCTGACCCCCTGTTTTAAGTGAATCGATAGTCAGCATTGACGAGACTTCGTTCGCTAATCTTTCGGATCTTCTTTAATTGTTTGGTTATTAGACTTGAGTATGAAAGGATTCTGCTGGCATCATCTTTGATTGATAAGGCCAATTCCAGTCAGCTATTTTGAGACAGAAGCTCGGTTAAAATCAATGCTGTGACCAAGTCTTAGCCCCACCCAGAAATCCTTCAACTTTACGAAACAAAAACATCACTATTAGACAGAAATGCGAAGTTTGTTACTATTTAACGCATGTCTGTCCTTTCCTTCTTTTCTGGCATAATGTTTTGTTAATTATACCAAAAGTACACTCTCTTTTTTATAAGAAAGTTATAAGTTTTTCAGGGGAACATCGCCTGGTCGCGAGTAAATACCACGTCTTTGGAAAAACGAGATATATCATTTATGCGATTCTCTGTTATGAATATTGCAAAACAGGCAACTGAAGCTGGACAACATTCTCACAAAATTCTCAAAAATTAGATGATTCAGAGCCTGAATATAATTATAAACAATATTGTTATAAAAATATTGTGTATAAACGGCCCAAAACCAGCTTTTTGAACTTCAAACCATCTGTTACTGTTGGTTTTTATCGGGTAATTTCAATTTGATTTGATGTTCACTTGATGCGTTATCTATTGGATTCGATGTCTAGCCCTCTTTACATGTAATCAAATGTATTCCGTGGTCCAATGGCAAATTTGGTGTACTTTAACGCCAAGTACTTTGACCGCTAACGAGGTGTCGCCGATTACTATGCGGAAATATATCACGCGTTTTGCCAGTTTTTATGACCTGACATTTCAGTTCTTGTAGTCATTACATTAATTACCGTCAAATTACTTCTACTCCGCATTTACGTTACGCTGAAGTTTATTTTTAGTTCTCTATTCGAAGACAGTCACGGCTTACGTCAGCCGACAGACAATAGAATGACGTAATTGTGTATACGTTCAGAATGAGCAGCGAAGTTTTTGTTTACACACTGCCCACACTGGCTGATTGAAATCCCCCTTGCCGCTGTTCACAATACACCAACTTACGCAAGTCTGATAGTGCTGTCTTGCTCTTGAAATTAAAACACTGCGTATTGCGATGATGTAGTCGATGATGAAAACCTGGTCGTGGCTCGTGTAATGAGCCACGTATCATGCAAATCAAAAAGCCCAATTTTGCCCTTATTCTGTTTCCTTCTTGCGCTAAACTACATTAAGGATACGGAACCCAGTAACTCTGTAGCGTGTGAAGTACCCTACGTCTTCAATTCTCAAATCATATTACTAGCTCTCTCCCCTTTACACTCTTACAAACTTCTAAGCAGCAATCAACACACTTAAGTACGAAAAGTGGCTTAATTGTATTGGAATTCTTCAGGGCAAAAATCTCAGGCTCTTGCACCCCTATCTGAAGGAAGCGATCATCGTATCGGTAGAAGAGTAGCTTGCTACCTCCCTTTCATGTTTACTAGCCTCCATTACGGAACAGCCTGAAGCTTCATAGCCTATAGCAGCAAAACGTTATTAAAAATTTTGGTGCATATTTCTAGCCTTTTACAGCCTCATTCTAGCACCCTGTTTCTATAGGATGCAGGAGCAAAGGATGCCGTGAATGTTTTTAATTTTGAATGAAAGTTTTAATTTTGAATGAAAGTTTTAATTTTAAATGAAAGGTTTAATTTTGAATGAAAGTTTTAATTTTAAATGAAAAGTCTCAGTTGCTGTGTTTATTCCACATTTCCTTTATACGGGACTGTTGCTAAAAATTATAATCTAATTTCTTTTCAAAACTTAGCATAAAAACATAGCATTACTGACGTGAGTGATTGAAACTACAATAACTGAAAATCGGGGCAAGGCAGTGGAAATTTAATTATTGTGGGAATGATACGTAACGTGCAGAACAAAAGTATTTCGGATGGAGTATTGCCTTTAGTGCAGGGGACCTTGAATTAAACACCCCGGACGAAATTTCTCCCACTCAAAGACAGATTTTCTATATTTGAATCATCTTGAACAAAAACCTGCCCCTAGAACCCCGAGACATCTTCATCTCACTGCATTGTCGCTTCTCCTTCGTTTAAGGCAAGTAACGACATCAACTACTCCAGGGTCGACAACAAGCACTGCATTTTAAGGCTATGGCAAATTTCAGTTTCTTTATATTAATATTTTACATTAGGGTGCAATATGTGTATTGTTTCATGATGGTAGTAAGTTTACATTTCATATAAGAAACTGTTATGAGAGATAAATGTCTTTGGAAATGGCATAAGGAATTGGCGAGAGGAATTTTTATTGTTTCCTCGACATTTTTTTGCCAACCAGTCATTCATTTCGAAGTTCTGCAATTTTTTCATCGTTCTCAGTTATTTTCTCAATTCTTTGCCCCCAATTACAGAGTTGCTCGATGTTTCTTTTTTTCCCATTACTCGTTTATCAAAGCAAGTTTTTTAAAAAAGCTGGCCTACTCATCAATAGATCTTGCATCTTCGCGACTCAGTGTCAATGCTAGGCGAATTATCGTTCTTTAGGCACGACCGGCCTAATTTTTAAGCTCAGAATTAAATAATCATAAGCCTCAAGAAAGGAGGAAGTACATTCTAAATTCCCTCAAATGAGTCACTGTGTTTCAAAACTTGCATATTTTACATCCAAAGTAACGTTTCCGTCAGATTTTTATTCTTCTCGGTAAATAATGAGGTCATAGGCGTTGGCCAGACATTTCAGGTTTCGCTTATAATCATCTAGCTAGTTCTCGTGATCTCGTCAAAACTAGAACCAAATCTCTTCTTAACCCGTCGATTGGGCGTTGGAATTATTTTTGTTTCCAGAAGCAGTTAAAATACAGGGAATCCCAGGAGTTGCCTATGAAAGAAAGTATCACATATGTGCTATGAAATAAGCTAAGAGTGGTAGGAGCTGCTATTCCTCACATCCAAAGAATGATGACTCCTAAAGAAGGAAAATGCTTTTGTTGTTGTTAATGCTCGTGCTGCTGCGAAATTTTGAACCTGGATGCGCATCTCTAAGCACGTTGGCAAACGCATTTTTTCGCATCTCTACGAAACACTGCTACGAAGCTAAAATTTCTTTATCATTCAAGCAGAGGTCAAGCCCAATCACATCAAATAGTATTGAGTCTATTTTTATTAAACTTAAAAGCTCTAAATTTGATGGTATCCTACGTTGAAAACCAAAACAATTCTAAATACTACAAACAAAATGATTGAATTTTTCCTAAAGCATTCAAACAGAGAACATGAAATTTTAATCATGGACGTTAAAAGGAAGATTTTATTTGCTGTATTGTTCTTTTGTTTTCCTACATAAGTTAAGTGACGAGAACCTCAATTCCGATTCAGACGAGTCAAACAAAAGCCGCTTTTCTTTGATTCAAACTCCTCTAGGTTCTATTGTCTGTTTTGAATTGATCGCTCAGGAAACACCAAGCAATTATGTCCGCTTCTTTCAAATCAGACAGCCTCTTCTTGTTTGTTAAGAAGCCAGCAAGGTCCTATTCAACTGCACGGTGCTGCATAACAGTGCGAGAAAATATGCGCGGAGGCAGTCTGGCTACCTTTAGCCAATCAACACACGACGCAGCAACCTGCGATCGATTTGCCGTCGAAACAAATGTATTTATATAGAATAATTAATAGAATACGGCTTAATCTCATTTTCTCGTTAAGTTTATTTCATTTTCCTACTTGTTAGACAAACGATGTATGACTTTGTAAACGAGTGGTCACCCGAGCCATTCGGACTTCACCGCAACAACTGGCCGGCGCATTCACGCTGCCTCGGAGAAACGTGGAAAGTCTTCGGTCAGCCAGCAGATTGCCTAATGAATCAGGATAATGAAGATGAGAACTGTAAATGCACCAGCCATGCAAAGACATCTAGAAGGCGACGCCTCAGAAGCAAATCAGGTTTCTACCTCACTGTAATGCCCAATGGTCAAGTGCTTGGTGTAAAGGATCCTACAAATGCATACAGTAAGTCTGATTTACTTTGATAGCAATAACCTTTGATAGCAATAACCTAAGTCTTTTTCGTCTAACAAATCACACCAATTATTCTACTTTTTCAATTGATTTTCTGACGTGGACCATGCAAAATTATTATTAGCTACAATGTCAAAAACTTACAGCCGATTTAAAATCGCGTAATCGCTGCTATGAACATTTTCGCGAGTTTTCACGTTGAAATATTTTGTTTGATTCAGTTCCATATAGAAATGATTCCAGAATAATTGCTAATTTTTCACCGGACAAAATACTCTTTGTTTTGAGTCACTCAAATTGAGTGTTACAGAATTACTTTCCCTCGGTGTGTAGTTTTTAAATTTATAAAAGCATCGCCTCGAACTCAAAACTGAGCGAAAGTCTTGTGCATAATGTGCCATGATGCGATGAATATGCTTAGCTAAGACTCAAAGCTGCACTAATCTTTGCAAAGTTCGTGCTGGTTTCTGCTCTAAAACAGTAACCGCTCCATGTTGTCACTGACTTCTTCGACCTATTTGTAGGGTCTACGTAAACCCAAATAAAACTAAATCTTGCATTGATTCCTCGATTAAAGAAATTTAAGTGAGATGAACAATAAAAGCTTAAAACTGATGACGATAATGAAGAGAAATTCACATGCAATAACTTATCGATATCAAATTATGACTGAATTCCAAGAACGGATGTGTGATTAAACATTGGATTGTTCAGCGTATAATTTGCAACGTCCTCATTTCCAGAACGAGTACAGTAATGTCTAGGACCTTAACCACCGGAAAATGTAATGATTCGACCTGGAAACAAAGGATTTGCCAACTGTTTATCCCCTTGGCTTGAGATTAACCTTTTACAAGGAAATGATTGTGTTCTGTGGATACAAAAATGGTTTTGACAGTCATACTCCAGCTCCTAAATCCTATCCTAAAGCGACTCATTTCGTTTCACTATCAAATTGAACAAACATTTTACTTTAATTTCAAGATATAATTATTCAAATCGTGCAAAAAATTGTCACGGTCTTAACTACGAAAATGCGAGTTTTTTAACCCCAATGTGAACAAAAATTGAATTTTTATGATACAAATCTTTGCTTGGAATGTTTTTGCTTTCCCCTTTAACAATTACGAAATTTTAGAATCCTTATTTCATTTCCACCCTTTTATCTTTTTTTATACAATCGTAAAGCGATAAGGTTTTATCAGTTTCCGAGTTCGCTTTAACTATAAGAAAACTGTGTCAAAGTTTATCATCTAAATTTAGTTCTGACCTGATTATTAAGTTCAACGGACATCTTTCTTTAAATATCTTTTATAGCAGATTGGCGTCAATTTAAGCCGATATGACATTTATGCAGTGTTGTAAATTATGTCTCTTAACTCTGAAAGAGAATACCTTTGTCACTGTAATTAATTTTTTGCGAAGTTAAAGCAGTCACTTGCCATAGGCGAGTGTTTGGGACATCATGCAAGTGCCTATACTCTGCAGAAAATAAAGTTGAATAGAAAATAACACACTGAAAGGTGGAGAGGAATAAAACATTATTACTTTTAGGCTAACAAAGGAACAAAGAATCTAAATGTCAATTCGATTGAATCATTTTTGCCGTCAACAACCCCCGTGTTTCTTTTGTGATTTTTGGCAAGACCAGATGTAAATGTTTATGTGGCTTAAACTGTAATGTTTGTTCGTTATGCTTTGCATCCTTTCGGGCAGCTTTTTCATAAAAGATTGGTTGATTGCTACTTGCGGGTGAAGTTATAAAGACTTCGCTTTGTGCAGAGACAGCTCATAAAAAAAATTTTTGATGTCGAGACAGGTAATTTGAGAAGGTAAACTAAGATGTTAAAATGTAGAAAGAACAAAATTGGCTGGGAAATTTCTAAATTCCTAGGCTTAAGCTTAAGTATCTGGGTTTTTGTCTGAAATAAATCGATCTATTTTCAGTTGTAAAGAAATATGAAGATAGTTAACTTGGGCCTTTAGCGTGGTTCCAATTGGAATCCTTCAGTTAAAACACTCAGCATCTTTTTTCAAAATGATGAATATATGAAATAATGATAAAATAATAGTTATATTATTATATCTAGATGAAATGTTATCATCAACGGTGTAAAAGACTAGCTAGGCGTTTACGATATCATCTGAATGAGGAGGGGCATCTAGAAACTCCTCCACAAAGGGTTTTCCTCCGCAAAACACCTGCTCTGACTCATGCTTTAAACAAGATTTAAACTCGTGCCTGAAATTCTTGCTTTAAACTGTAGACTGTTCATGTCTTAATTATACAGAAGCGAGATGTAATAATTCCCGGTTCATCATGGTGTCTGGGAAACCGGCCGTCATCCACTGTATAGAGAGAGCAATTCTGTGATTAAAGCTAGGTTTTTGGCATCGTTTGTAAACATGTTTTGCAATTAACAAGCTTACACATTCAATAAGTTACTAGCTAATCTATTTTTAATGGCTTTATCATTATGCAATTATTATACTCTTAACCGCCATTTAGGAAATTTGTCCACCCGCAAACGGTGTTCCTGCCGCAAAAAGTTATTTCCTTTTTGACTGTAAATTAGCCAATGGCCCGTGCATGTTTTCTCTGTACAGAGATAGTAGAGATAGCAACCTCGCTCTTTAGTAGTTTAGTCCGACCAAACTGATACCCCCTGTCCTGTAGCTGATACACCTGTGCGGTTTGTGCTTACGCAGCGACAGTTTCATAATCATAGAGTCGCAACATCACGAAGTACTTTGCCCAAAAAAATTCCTCTCCCAGCATTTTCTCATCGGATTTAGACCAATTACAAAATCGAACTTGTTGAGAACTGCGCCCAGTCCCCATCCCCCCGTCACACCGCCAATGACCTTCGCAGCAAATATGGTTTATCTTCACTGCACTTATTGACTCACACTATCATTGTACAGTTATTTCTTTAAACAGCAACCTTATATAAATCAGTTTATGAAATCAATAATAACAGTGATAGTTAATCAGGTCAGACACTGTTCGAACATTCAAAATTAGATTCGAAGGCATCAATTATTAAAACTAATTTTCCTGTGTTTTTACAGCTTCCTTATGATCTAAAATCACGAGTTGAGTTACTTACTTGAGGAACAAATCTTTCTGCTTTATGACATTTCAAGAAACTCGATAGCTGTTTATCAGCTGCTCTCTGTCGCGAGCATTGTCTCGCTTTTTATAAGATTTGGAATATTAAATCGTGACATGATTTTGAACTGTAATAGACAAATGAATGTCATATTGGCGGAGAAATTTTATTTCATATCCAAAAATATATCATTTCATTTGCGAAAAGTCAGTGCAGCAGATTACAGTTAAATTCTGAATGAGACTTCTTAGTTTCTTAAAAGTTTTTCATCCAATCTTTGACAAGAGTGTTAAGTTTTAGATGATTTTGACAGTGTAACCATATTTAAGTAAGGAGGCTAAATGAGAATGGAGGAAAAGGTAACGCCGTTTGTTACGTAAATTTTGTAATTTGCTAGGGCAAAACTGTTTTTGCTGTTGTGAACTCAAGCAACTTGTGCCAAAACTTTCTGTCATCCTGCTTGAGCTAAAAATCCTTTATTCTCTAATTGGATGAAATCTATCTCTAGTCGAATTACACTGTCACCGTTGCTTTGCTACAAGCTTCGAAATAAAAGCAGGATCTTGATTAAGACCTCGATTTGTCCATCTTAAGTTAATACTTTGAAAGCAAGCCCTCGGGCCCAGTCGAAGTAATCAACAGTGCACAAAAGTGTCTGGCAAGGGAGATAATCTTGAATTAGATTGGAAATATGAAAATCACAATCACCCGGCCCTCTCTGTGTTCCTTTTCAATTTAGGAAATGTTTAATGATGAAGTTGCCTCTACACTTTGTTTGGGAGTGATCGTTTTAGTTAGTGCCTCTTTCACTCCAATTTGTTTCTTAAAGGGCAAGAGACCCTTTTGATACATCTCAGAGAAGCTTTAGGGTTTCAGCTAATGGCAGTTAGTATTCCATTTGTGATCGTATTGGCCATTGAAATACACGGTGAAACAATGTAAACTTTGAAACGATGCTTGTCTTCTTTTGTTAATGTCTCAGAATCGGTTGAACGTAACAGAGTAAAACAGCAGTGCTGTAGACAGGGATTTTGGCGTTTTCCGCAGAAAATTAATGAATTTAAAACAGGCATTAATAGTACATGACTACAAAAGTTTATTTCAGCATTTGCAGTTTCCCTTGAGCCTTTAGAATATTCAGTTTAAAAGATCGGGATTGATAGGACTGGGCGATGCACACGCCTGCAAACACAGTAGCGTTCAAGGGACACACCAATGAGGTGGGACACACCCAGCTTGGCTTCAATAAAGGAAGAGGTCTGTTGTTTCCAACCCTCGCAAATTTGAGCCCTTCTTCTAAATTCATTTTTTTTATCCCCTGGCGTTTTTTTGTCTCAAGCAATGAGTTCTGATGTTTATTTTTTACGCTTAAAATCAAGAAGCAATTCCAAAACTAGCATCAAACCTTGAATGAATACTATGTCACCCTCTGTTGTTATCAATTTCATTGTCATGTGTTTGTGCGAGTTGGAAAAAAGCCAATACATAGTCAAACTAAGTACGCCCTACTTTACGAATGTAAATGCAATTTTTTTTGTTTACATGGCATGTTTACACGCGACGTCCTCACAAACGAGTTTAATACCAGCAAAATCTGATAATTCTTGCCCCAGACAAAAGTGCTGTTGTCTTTAATCCTCCCTGTGGCTTGTTATTCAATTTCTGCCCATTCAAAGTCCAAAGAAAGTACAGTTTTCTTTGCAAAACAATGACTCTTTGCAGAAATGGTGGCATAGGTGTGCCTCTTTGAAGTTGTGCTTGGGCTTTGTTTATTTACAAAACATCCTTTCGTTTCCACCTTTTACCCTAATTCTACCCCAGGTGTTTTTTGTTTGCAGGAAAGAGTTGTTTGTTCGAAACATGCTGCACTGCTCACAAATTGAGGATCATGATCAGTGGGGAGAAATATTTTTATAGATAGTATAGAGCTAGGCAACAGCTTTAGGATCGTAGATGGCTAAAACAGGCACAAAAGAAGTCACTTCCAAGAGTTTGCGCACTCAAAATTAATTTGCAGATATGATAAGAAAGTGGGAATAACTGAGTGGGCGATAAGCCCAGCCCCATTAAAGCTTACTACTCTAAACATTTAACCCTATTGAAATCACTGCAGTTCAAACCACTAGTGGTTCAAACTCATATATACCACTGGTATTTCCTTCGGGAAATGAAAGAGAGGCTAGGAAAAAAGAACTACGAAGACAGATCATCTTTGCTTTGCTAGTCAGAAAATTCAACATGCTTCAAGCTAATTGAGAAAGTTTAAGGAAGGGGCTATTCCTCCCTTCCTATATTTAAAGAATACCTTTGAAGATGATTACAAATTTTACAACATGAACGTCGTATCGTATTGGCATGCCTCAAGCGCGGCGGCAGTAGGCCGGACAGACACTCTTTCTCTTTTCCGAAATTCGAAAATTTAAACATTTTCAGACTTCTGCTGTTCGTTTTCAAGTATTCTTTTGAATTCTGTCACAAAATCATAGCTTTTTGTCCGTTCACGATTATCGGCCGTATTGCGTCCTTATTTTTCTAAAGAATTCTCCAAGCACAGTCGAAAATAATATGTGCTTTCTTACAATGTTTACAGTTTCCAAGTTTGCTTTTTCCTGAAAGCTGACTCTGCTGGAGCCCGAATAGCGGTGCCATACTTTTTACAATTCAGTTGAGTTTTGCCTTTATTGGCAACTTTAAACTGCCTTATCAAGATCTTCAGGCGAAATTAATCCTTCTGGCTTTGGAATACAGACTCGTGGTGTTCTTAGGGAATCCTCCTGTACGCCAAAGCTCTAGCTGTCTGGGGTGGGGTGCAGCCGTAATGCTCTTAATCAAAGTTTTTGGTACCTCCCATATATATTACTTGTGTCGATTGTGTTCATTATTATGACCCACTTTGTTCTTATCACTAGCCCAATTCAGTAGAGATCCAGCCGCTACTGATTTGTCTAACTGACCACTTCCTTAACAGTTGTTATGCCTAGAACCACACCCTAAAAGGTCTATCAGTCTCGCCATTTGTTGGCAATTAATGAGCAGCTTCCTTGGTGAAAAATTGGTAGTTCCAGCTGAAAGACGAGCTTTCATCTCCTACACAGTATCATTGCAAGGTCTATGTATGATCTTTGACCATCTCCCCATATTTTCGATAGCACCCCACCGAATAATGAAGGATAGTAGAAACGTAAAGTACATTTTATCAAATTCCAGCAGTGCACCGGTGGGGATAGAATACGTGGGTTGTTTTATCTACTTCTATCTTTAATCTTTACTTATCTTTATTACTTAAAAGTGAGATTAGATCGCCAGGAACTGCATCTAAAACTTGATTCATATTCAAATAAAGTTACCTTTCCCACAATCTGATGCTTTTCATACGATTCGCGTAAGCGCAATTTCCCCAGGCGTTGGTTTGCCCTCGGGTTTGCCATAAAGAAGTTTTTGTAAAGGTGGAACTTATTCGGACTTGGTGCTTTTTTGAGTCTTTGACGCTAAAGCATATGTGATATTAAAAAAGCTTCTTATTCGACAAATACTAGTTTGGGCATCTGACCAAAAAAGGTGATGCTTAGCGAGTGACGACTGCGATCTTGATCGTCACAAACTTCTCCTTTTCCTGCATGAAGTTTTCGCCACTAATTTGTTTGAACGGCTTCATTTCTGTATTCTTTTCAACTTCAAAGTAAACAAGACACTGCAAGTATTTTTCCTACAGGCATGATCACAGATTCAAATCATTATAAAAGCACAAGTTTCTGGTAATTTGATATAATTTTGATCACTCAAAGAGAACACTTCTCGCCCAACCTATTTAATCTCAAATCAGAGCCCCTTTTATCTATTTTAACTTTATTTTGTCTAAATCGAGTCTTCTATGCAACTCTAGTAGCAAACTTAGTTGATGTTATTCGTAAATCAATCGTTGTTTTTCATTTTTTACTGTCAGTCCACCCCAATTTATAGTGTTTTGTCTTCATTTTAACTACCGCAAACCAATATAGCCTATGGTCTCTACAAACGGAATTAAGATATCGCAACTCAGTTGCCTGTGGATTATTGTCTAAAAAGATTGCCTTAGGGCAGTCAGAAAGATCATCCCGTGAATCGTCTAACATCCCTCGGCTATTGAAACTTATCGTTCATAAAAGAATTATTTTTGCCCAGATCCATGGATTAAATATTTTTCATTTGAGCAGGTATAATTTACTTTGGCTGCAAGTTAGGTTGTTAAGCTCAACCGAGACTGTTGCCGTAACTGGGTTTGATTACCAACTAAGGCTCTGCTTCTTTGTTCTCTTCACATCAGCTGCTTAAGTTCGAACAAAAAACCTCAATTCACTGATTTATCTAAATCACTGCCAAAATTAGCTAAAATTGAAATAATTTAAATCGGAAAGGATATCTGACCGCGTTGAAAGTTGGTTGGTTTTTCTTATGTTTGAGGATTAAAACAGTAAAATGTTTTTGTGACGTGCTTGTTTGCCCTCGTGCTGCCAAAAGGCTTGTTTGCTGTTGAAGAAAAATGTATCTATATAGCGCATTGTGTCCATAAAGACAAAGTTGTCTTTTGCAATATCAGTTAACAATTCGAGAAGCGATCTGGCTTTATCGAGTAGTGTAGGAGCAGTGGAAACTAAGGACGATTGCCAGTTGAAGTCTGATTGCTTTTGTTCAAGATTTTGGCAAATTTTCTGAAATCTAGGCGGGCTGAAGCCCCCATCACCCTTCCTCTATCTCCTATTGATAATCTCATATCCACTATATATGATGTATCATTTTCGTCAAGAGTCATTTCTGCAAGTGACACGAAGGAATAAAGTCAAATAAACCTTCCTCTATATGCCTGTACCATATAAAATCACTAGGAAACTCGTCCCGACGTCCCCGGTCTCAGCAAATTTAAAAAGCTCCATTTTATATTATTGTAATAAGCCTATGTTTTGGTTCGAGCAAAAACAGTGAAAACCCTTTCAATCCTTCAAATAGCCTCAATTTTAGAAAGCTATGCCTCTTAGCAATAACTTTGTTTACCTGACGTTCAAGCCAAATTCAAGCATAGCGTGAACGTGTATAGGCCATTTCAGTGCATTTTCTTCTTACAGATCTAATTAAAATGCTCCCTGATTAATTAGTGTTTCTTTGATATGTTTTTGATGAGTCTCGCCGGAACTCGGACACGAGAGCAAATCGTAGATTAAAATTTGTTCAGACTGACCGCAAATTACATATTTTGAACTATCAGACAACAATTTTTGTAAGAAATGCGTTGCTAGCAACATCAAATACACACGGAAAGACTCGTTCGTCCTTAGACCCTTTATTCTATTGATCCTGACCCTAACCGTAACCCTAACTTCATTTAACCCTAAACCGGGTTAGGGTTAGTGCTAGCTTGGGTTTGGGTTAGTTCTCTTATCTCTGGTCCTGTCCTGCATCAGGAAGCTGTCTGTTACAATTGTGTAATACTCAGTTGTTTGTAAAATATATGTAAATAAATTATTGCGTATAGTGAATAATTTGCACTGCTTTCTTTTTCTATGCACTAAAATCCGGATTCACCAGGATCATGTTCCTCTTGGTGATTCTCTTGAAACATCTCATACAAAGAGAAAAATTCATCTTTGGATCTTACAGTTTGTTATTGGGAATGATACGTGGATCTGCTCCGCCATATATTGTTCGTTTAATTTATGTCTTAAATGCTACGCATATTTATTTTACTAGTGTAACCATTAATGTTTAATATAATCGCAGAATTGTAGAATAAACATATCTAGAAATTATATCTCAATTCGATAACCAATTTAAAATGCATTTCTTTCTTTCAGTAAACCTGGACGTGATTCCTGTTGGCGCTGATTTGGTTAAAATTTGGGGCGTTGAGGCAGAATTGTTCCTCATGATAGATGACGCGGGACTCTTGCGAGCCACTGTAAGTCACTGCTTGTTTTTCACTTTGTCGTTGCTAAGCAGAAATGCTTCTTAGAAAGATCAATTTATGAAATGAAAACTGTCTCTACTAGTAAATTGACATATCTAAGTTGTGGTTCATGCGTCACTGAGTCGAAAAACTGCAATGGAGCATGTCACAAAACCCAGCCCAGTTTTGCATTTTTGTAAAGTCACTGTGACAAACAATAGTATCCCAGCAACGTGTTTGGGCAGGTACAAGATTTACATCAAATTGCCCTAAGCTCTGCAAATACCAATTTGTTATGGCTTCAAACAATGCTATAAAATTGTTTTGACTTAGTAAGGCAAAGGGAAAGCAGCTTCGAGTTTTAAAGTATGTAGGCTCTGTTAGGTTGAAAGAGAGTCTTCTTATATCCAAATTGCCAATGTGCTTTATAGCGTTGGGTTTCACTTTGAGTTTGGGGTTTTTGTGCTGCCTTCTTTCATTGGTCCAAAGTGCCTTGCGCTTTGCGGACTGTACTTGAAGTATTGGAAAGTCTATCTTTGTCCGTTTGAAATGCTTCCCGAGGCGTTATTCAACATCTGTCTTGCTTGCTCGAGTGGAAATCAAATTGCTTCGAAAGTATTGTGATTATTGAATCAGATTGGGGCGGATCACAGCTGATTAATTCTAAAAGCAATGTCCTGTTTAGAAATTTTTTTCCTCGAAAACCGTTCTTGCTTAATACTATTTTTGATCTATCATAATTGATGTAGTTATTTTCTGCGAAATTGGCTGGATAAGACTTGGCAATCAGTTTCCTTGTGAAGTTACTGCCCCGGCGTATGAATTATGCACAATCAAAACGATAAGATTGGGTCTGATAGCCTTCACTCGCTTGTGATGAGTCAATGAAGATACACACCTGCACTGCAAGTTAACTCGATTTTCTCTTCCTTTAGAAGAAAATCCTCTTTATGTCTGGATTACCCATCTTATTTTGGCTGATCTCTGAAGATATTTGAATTTTCTCTTTTATAATCACACCAATTTTGGAGTTACATTTTTGATGGATCTTCTGTGAATAAAAGCAGCTGAAAGCGGCTGGAAGTGATTTCAAAGAACCTAGGTTATGAAATGTTTTGGCTGACACTTTCTTAGAGCATTATCATGAAGATATCTTGTGATTACGTCAGCCGATCATTTGATACAGCTGGTTTAATATAGACATGGAATGCCAGTCATTCTTCAAGTTTCTTACGTTGTGAGGTATCAAGGCGCCTCTTGTGGGTCAATTTTGGTGCATAGACGTTCAAAAATTCTCAGCTTTTCGACTATAATACTCCTTACAGAATCACCCAATTAAATCTGCAGGTGTTACTAGAAAACTTTCGTTGGCCATATCTTGTTCAGGACCATCAAGTCTGCACTGCTCTCTTTATACACAGACGGTGACAGACCTTTCATTCTTGATTAATAACAGCAGTATAAAATATATATGAATATGAGCTTTGATCTAGAAGCTTAGTGGAGTATAAGTTCCTGTGTCAATACTATTACAGGTTCACCAATCATGGTGAAAAGATTATTGGTGAACATGTCCCTTTAGAGGCAGAGATTTGCCTGATGTGAAGAATGACGATTTTATATACCCTAAAGTAACTTGTCTATGGAAGCCGTACTGTACGTCCCAAATGCATGCATAGATATTCAACTTTTACTCATTCAACCCTAGGCTTTTATTTTTAATTTAGAAATCAACTGGGCGAGCTTTTTAAATTAACCGGATGCAATCGAATAATATGTACTAAGATCGGCTGTCAAAAGAGAAATACATTTTCGTGTTAGGCCATTATGCTATATGGTATTTCCTCCCACTATTTCTATGGTTTTAGTAGTCAGAAGAGACGCCTTTCTAAGTTTTCAATGAATTTCGGCGTCGTGTCAGCGTGTAACGACAAACAAGTGTTATGTATTGTGTATCGCCCACTGGAAGATGTTCAGCTTTACAACAATAAGGCTTCGAAGCTAACAATTCTTCTTTTTCCTTATTTGACTGCAAGCTCAGCCGGCTGTCCTGTGTTTATAACTGACAAGTGAAAGGCCTATTGTTTTCGACTCCAGATTCCTATACGTACTAAACATGTGTTCATGATTTCAGCCGGATTCTATACAAAGGTCTATGCTTGAGGAAGTGTAATCTTACAGAAATGCATTGATACCCTCTTTGCACTTCGTAAAGCGGATGTTATGATTTATATAAAAGATTTACATAGCTGTCTTATCCGTATTTCTTAACCACTTTCCTTTATGTTTCAGGATGTGGACAGTCATGAATGCATTTTCGAAGAGTCAATGACGGAAGATTTCTGTACAATGTATTACAGTGCTATGTACTCTCATAAGAGATGGTGCGTTGGACTCAAAACGAGACCACTCAGTACCTTTAGTGGTGCTCTTAGAAGAAACAAACTTTCATTACGAGATTGCTCCTTTATATCGGAGATCGTGAATAGGAGGTCGTCGACGTCATCATCACAATCTTGTGGAAGCGATGGGCGGACGTGCTCGATATAAACATAAATATCTAGATGCGTAGTTGATAGGAAATATTAAATATATTTGTAATTGAATAGCTTAGGCTTCAAAAGAGTTCAGTGAAGATAGCAGTCAAAGTACTCCTTGATTAAAAATTTCCCAGTTATTGAAACTAGTTGGTGGCTCTAAATGTTTCTCGATTCGTGGGAGTGTTTCATTTTATCAGCAAAAGTTGGAGTATTTCATTTCACGAAAGAGATTGATTCCTGTGAAAATGAAAGCTGAACCATATCTAAAACGTTAACATATTTCCGCTCAATTGCTCAATTAAGTCATTTTTGAAATCCATATTTCTTATTTTTAACATTTCCATACATGATAGCTTTGAAAAATGAAAAATGAAAGTATTTCTGCATAAAAAACTACCTCAGTTATAGGGTTATAAAACAATCGAAAAATTCACTTTATGATAGGATATTTAAAGCATGTTGACCAGTTTGGACGTGGAAAACAGGGAAAGAGACTGCATCCGCATAAATATTGAAAAAGATGGGCCTTTTTTTCCCGTTTCATCATCCTTCTAGACTTGTGTTTTATGGATACGTTACAGGGAGCTTTATTGTGCCTGCGCAGGAGCTATGCCCATAATGAGATGCCCATAATGAGGGCTCTTGAGTAATTACAGGAACTTTCATTTCAAAATGTATTTTCCAGAAATACCCAGCTTCAATACAAACTGTGTTGATAGAATCCATAGGAAGAAGAATCCACGTTTGGTAAAAACGAATCTCCTGGAGATTGATTTGTGACAGAATTGTTGTCTGATTCTCGTAAAGATGATTCACGAATTTTCAGTTGTCCTAGGCGATTTTTCAATGTAGTATTTTGGTTGCTTTTTCTGAAACGATGGAAATATGCTGTTCTGTTTAACGTAGTTCGAAGATTCATAAAAGTTAGGTTTAATTTTGTTGGTTTTCGTCAAGAAACAAAATGAATTGTGTAAATATTATTATGGACAATAATATATTTAAATGTGATAGTTAATTTGTTTCATCTTTAGGTGATAGATAACGTATTATTATTAGAACTGTTATTATTTTAATATTGTGGTTGTTTGAACCATTTACGTTGTACATAAATCGAGTGTTGATTTCACGTGCGTTTTAAAATTATCAGTTGTATCAACTCAAAGTTCATGTCTTCAGGTTTTCGTTGAGATAAAATTCCACAGTTTTATGCTGTTTCTGTTCCCTTCTTGTTTCTTACTCTCCAAAGAAGATTGTCGATCGTAATTGAGATTTTTATTGAGCAGTGCAGTATCAATAAGATTATCTCTAATTCAGTTTTATGAAAATTCAATGTAAACATTTGACAGAAAACATAGGTCAGCCCTTTCGATACATTCCTCTGTAGGACAAAAAGCTATTTTGCCTGAATTAAATGCCTGAATGCTTTAATTTTCAATGAAAATAGTCAACTTAATGCAACGTAGATTCACAAAACAGAAAACCAATCTCTAAAATACACATTCAAACAATCTTTTGGTAGTACAAAACTTGGCTTTGAAAATGGCTTTGAAAAAAGCAAACACTTGAGTAAAATAAAGCTTTTCGTCTGACACTCTTCAGAGTTTAAAACGTCAGAACATAGATCGAAAAATGTTATTGGTGCAACGAATGTGTATAGGTTGGTACATGGTAGTGCAAATCAGCTAAGATTGAACAGTTCGTTGTTTAGAAAAATCGATTTTTACTAAGAGAGTGCTAACAGTGACATGACATGCAAAAAAGTCGAGAAATTAAAGGCTTTCCTTTAATCAATAACCTCTGCCATCAAATCTACACCTTAACTGCAAGTTTTGACAAAATTTTCTTCTTTGTTATTGTTTATGTTGAGATATAGCAGTGAGGATTTCAATTTTGAAATATTGTAGGATTTCAATTTTATAGGAAGAGATCGTTCACTTTTTCTAGAATATTTATGCTAAAAACACGCAAAGAGAGTATTAAGGGTATAATAAAATAAACTTGCCTGGAAAAATTTTGAAGATACTGATCTAGAAAATTGGCATTCTTAAAAAAGGTTATAAGTTTGCATTGTACTAAAAAGTGAGTGAATGTTTCCATCGTAATTTTTTCATTTTTTAAAAAGTATATGGTATATTGAAAAATCCTGATTCATTGAAAAAATTTTAGTGTAACAAATTGACTCTTTTGCTAATGCTACAGCTTTTGATAGAAAACTTTGGCAGACATTTTTGTCCCTTTTTAATTTTTACAGAACACTCACACCCATTAGCTTTTTTAGAACATAAGCTTTTTATGGCCACCAAGAGTTTTCGCAGTTGAAATGGTTCAAGACTTTGACTATAATAAAGCAGTTCAACCCTACAACCCCTCTGACTTCGACCCGAAATACATCAGACCTCGATTCGTACAATAACTATGGGGGGTGATAGTCAATTCTGATTTGCAAAGATTCAGGATCTTGCATTGCTGCATCCTTTCGATGTGATGCATATATGATAACACCCAGAAAGATCAAGAATACATGCTCCTAAATGTTATGAAAGACAACAGAGACAGTGACCTGAAGTTCATTGGCATTGGGTATGTGACAGAGCCTGGTGCAGCAGGTCATCTAGCCGTTCATATGATAGAGGTTTCAATAGAATCTGAGATGGTGCCCATGGGCACTTCCAGAAATTTTGGTGGTTTGACCTGGAATGACCCTGATGGCAATGACTTGAATCTCAGTCTCTTGATTCTTCAACCCACGACCCTAACCACTGAACAAATAACACACCTGATGTTAACTGTGACTTTCAAATAAAACGATCGAGCCAAGATTTCGTGGTTCCCTTCAAAAATAAAACAGGTTGTTTCGGATCTGCTTAGTATTATGGAAATTTATAAGACTCGTTGAGAAGCAAACTGAACCTTTTTGTAAAAAATACATGGGTTTGAGGATCACTAAAATGTTACTTTGTTGTTCTGTCTGCGATTTTGGCATTAGGGTTTGAGAAATTTAGCTCTAAGGGACGTAGTGAAAACACGAACACCGTCAAACACCCCAGTTTCACAGGAGAGTTGCAATTGAATAACACTAAAGGGTATGATGAAGAAAATTTGGCAGACGGATAGAACTTTCGTCGCGTTATTCGTGCATCAACAATGCCACCGCTGATAACACATATTAACTAAGGCTGAAATATTTACAACAAAATAAAGTGTTGGTTATTTGCATTTATTTTAACAGTATCTACTCAATTCTATTTTATCAATAATCAAACAAAATCATCAAAACGATCACTTGAGACAAATCGACATAATCACAATCTATCAACAGCCGAACTGAACAAGGCAGGCCTAAAGTCAGGTTGATAGGGCGAGTTACTGATTAAAATAGGTGATCGGTAATCGAAGCAACATCAAGACATGAAGGTATCATATGCCCCTTGCAGAAAATACTATCATGACTTGAATCAACAAAAGCTACTAGCGTCGTAAAAATGACACAGAACAGCTCTGTAACCAGAAAGTGGGGTTATCAAGTGAGTAATTTGAAAAACATGCATACCCTACAAGAAATATCTTAAGATGCCCCCTCAACTCGAATATACTCTGCTAATCTAACATAAACTTAACTTACTTCACATTTCCATGCTAAGTTTACAGATAGTTGTTAATTTTCAAACACCATGGCCATAAGTAATGTCTAAATTTTTTTTGAAAAGACACGTCGAAATTGATTTGAAAAAACGCGGGGGTAGAGGGTGGGGGAGGTTTGCAAAGGAGCTTGGGTACGGGAACAAGCTTCTTTTCTGAACCATTACGAGAGAGGAGGCTTAAGCAGAATCATAACGTAGATTGTATCAAATCATTAGAGAGTTATCAAACCAGAACTAAACTCTTTTGCAGCAGAACAGAGCTCATGATGCGGTCTGCTTTTTAAAGATAAGAAATAGCAGTTTTGTGACAATTCTTCAATTTTCAAACACTATAAAAATAGGTAACTCGTTAGTCCCCAACCTCTTTACTTCGATTGTTGACGCTTTTCTTAGTATAAGCTTGTCTTTTTCATGATTCGGAGGAATTCAGCCTCGTTTATTTCCCCATCGTTATCTCTGTCAGCTTCGTCAATCATTTCCTTTAACACAGGAGAAAAGGACAGTGAAAATTAGTATATATTTTACCGCAATTTTGACAAATATTTTGCGGAAATTTGCGAAAAGGATAAGCACAAAGCTGTGGTAAGAGCAAATAATCGTTAGCAAATCAGTTATTGGCAAATAGATAAGTTTTGACTCAATGAACAAACGGCAAAATAATAACTTCTGACGTTCAAGGAGAGCACTAATCTTTCAGGCAAACCCAAAGATACACGATCGTGTTGTTGGCTGCTAAAAATTTCTGAGTTTCTGCCAATGCCAATTTTGTATGAAGATAGCGAAACGATTCGGAATGTCAGCCAAAAACTACAATCAAATTTTTAATCTTTTGTATTTAAGTTTCTAATTTTCTTTCTATGCTAAAGAGCAATTTTCAGCTAAAAAAAACTGTGAGAGGAAAGAGCAATTTTACATTATTAAAAGTTATCCTAAGAGAAGTTTGTAGAATTGTATTTCACTCTGACGGTTAACACTCAAGAAACAGAACTTGAAACACATGCCCTACAAGAAAAGTGTATATTCTAATGGTTCCGGATACGTATTGAAAATTGTGACTTAGTGACAAAATGAGACGGTTTTGACGATATACATAAACGAATGAGGCAGCTCAAACATATGATTAATCGCAAGCAGGGAATTTAATACACGAAAACTGGTTCTTGATTGCCAATAAGTGATGCGATCGTGACCTTAATATTTTTTTAAATAAATGTCTCTCGTCGATTTCACATTACCAGTTCAGCCTTGTACGATTGTCATATAACAACAAAGTTTCATGATTATTATCGCTTCTAGAGAGAAGATACAACAGTTTACAGAAAATATTTTCGCCGATAGGAACTTTCTGAGAATGGCTATAAATCACGAAACATTTTAAGCCTTGGTTCACATTTGCATGGCAGTCCCCTAAAGTACCTGACCTAAGATCTTTTATAATCTAAGTGAATATTCAAGACCGCAAGCGAAAGATTGTGCCACCAAGAAGCAAGGATGTTTGAATAAAATAAAGTTTTTGTTTTCGGGAATCGCAGAATTAAGCGTTCATGGGCAGATCCATTGAAACAATTTACTGGATTAGACGATTGAAAAAATGCCACAAATGGATGAAAATCAAGGTAAACCTTCATGTCCTCGGCAGTAAATAATAAATCGATAATCTAATCTGTGCAACAGATTAATTTCAAACTGTTCTCATTTCAAGGCAATCCTTTGAAGTGGCCAAAACACTGCTTTATGTTAAATCTTCGGTGTTACATTCATTTAGAAGAGAATTAGGACCGTGCGTCGAGCCCAACTGTGCCTAAACGTGTTAATTTCAGGTGATTACCGGCTTAGGGTCTAGCAATTCGCTGAAAAATCCTTTCTTAGTACAGCACAGAGCGGCGAAATTTGACTTGCAACACAAAATGTCGCGCAGTTGCGTTCTGAACCTTACTAACGCATGCGCATTATTCCGTAAACAGGACAGAAAACAATCAAAATTACTGATGTTAATACCCACAGATATGTCATCAAAGCGTCGTTGCTTATGAATGCGTTATAACGCAGCAATATGCCTAACTTTTTTTTAAAAGTTCTTGCAATATAAATTGAAGATAGCACGGAAAAGCGGAAAGGTAGCATAATAAAATTAATTTACGTCTGAAACTCCTCGGAGTTGAACTACCTACGATTTATAGCTTGGTGGCAACTTGACTTCGCTTTACAGCAATCTTAAAATTGATTTTCTTCTTTCAAAATGGCTGCCAATCGAATCTTATATAAAATTCAACTGTATTGAATAAAACAGCAGACTCACCTGCAGCTCTTCGTCGGTCAGGTTCTCGCCAAGTTCTTTCGCAACCCTCTTTAAATTTTTAAATGAAATTTTACCCTGCAACGCAAAAAAATCACCATTAGAGAAAAAATTCCCCATTTGCTTGCATAAAAACACAAACTGTACAAAGGAATTTAACAAAATAATTTTTCAAAAGTTTAGTTTGTCATAAACATCAGTAGAAATTAATCTGTATAAAGAATTTTGAATTATAGGGCTTTGTATACCGAAGAAATTTTGATTAATGACGATGTGTAGGCAGTGATTTGTCTGCATTCATTGTGCGTGTTTAAATCGATTTTGATTAGTTTTCTTGTACATTTTAATTGTATATTGAAGGCTAGTGTATTTAATAAATCAATGTAAAATAAAACTTAGACTATTGCTAAAACTTATACATTTGTAGGGATCCACCAAATTTGTTTCTGAGATTTCTGCTTAAAAAATTCCTGCTTAAAAAATTTCGGGACTTTTAAAATGCCTTTTGATTATTAATGAAATCCTCAAAATTTGGAAGATTGCTTCTCCAATTGAAATTTCAGGTTTAATGGGAAAATGCGCAGCAGTGAATGTTACACTAGTCAGTAGGGATGTATAAACATGCAGAGAAAAGCTTAAAATGCCAAGGTATTACCCTGTAAATATGCAAGTCCCCCCCCCACCCCAGAAAAAGATAAGTAAAGCACAAAACAAAGGAAAAGGCAGAGTATCAAATCAAACCGAAAATTTAAAAACCAACTTACAGTATTGTCATCGTCAAATAGTCGAAATGCCTTCAAAATTTCCTCTTTTGAATCTTTCTCACTCTGTAAAAAGTAAGTGGAAATTTTTTATTTGAAGATCTACAAAATGACAAATGACAAATTTTGGTTCAACTATGAAAGATTCCTTTAAATATCATTTTAATACCCGGACAATAAAAATATATTTCCTTTTCTAGATAAAAAACAAAAAACAACAGAAAGCAATAATACAAAACAGAGACGCCGGAACGACCAGGGGAAAATGGGGGCAGGCTTTAGTAAAGGGGCACTTGAAAACAAATGCTCAGTATCTGCTAATTCTTTAGCGACAGCCATTTTATTTCGATCTTCTGTAGGCATCTTGAAAACGGACTAAATTCTGCCATAAGAATTTTTTCCTAAAACTTTTGAGAAATATTGTCATGAATAAGGCACTACAGTCCGAATGTCACACGAATATCTTTCATAATTTCAGAAGGCCTATGTCAAAGGCACTTCTATGAAAAGGGCAAGAGGTGCGGTTTCCCCGACACCCATTCCCGGTTCCCCTGGGGTGAAGTGAAAAACTGGAAAATGAAGATATTCAAGATAATTTTTTCAAAGGGAGCATAAAGAAATGAAGTAAAATAACAATGCTTTTAACTTTCAACCAGGTTCAATCAAACAATTTACCCGAAAGTTGACCCTAAAACAATGTTTATTAAAGAGCCTAACAAAATACTTTTGCTATAATTTTGAGAACCTCTTATAAAAAGCACTAAATTTAGTCAAGTTAAACATAGACGAAGCACTATGGCAATTCTTGGAAAATGCAGGGTATTTTATGCATTTGTGATATTTATCAACCGTATCAAACTGGCAGGTTGGTGCACATCACCTACTTAAAGCCAACATATCATAAAAATTGAAATTTTTGAAAAAGATGGGCTTTTGTCAATTATATATCCATAGAAATTTAGAGGAGACTTAATGGAAAAAGATCTTTAGATTGAATAAGAAATACATTTTTCTTATCAGACTGCAGATCAAATTTCCATTGCCTTGGGAAGTGACCTAGCGTCTATTATTAAGTTTCGTGAATTACTGGAAACGAAAAATATGTGCTAGACACGAGTGTCTGAAAAAGATTGCCTTTTCAATGCAAAACTCTTATTGAGGAAATTCTATTTTCAGTGATAATTACCAAAATGCTGTTTCAAGATTTCCCGGAATAGCATAAAGTTGTTGCTATAAAACACTGTTAATAATTAAATTTCTCGATAATCATATAAAGCAACATCTGCATGTTGCATAATATCTTAGACATAATACTGAAAAAGCCCACCAAAGATCGATTCCGGTGGTGTGGAATGATCCACTTGGTATATTAAAGCGAACATTAAGCAAAGTCTGGTTTCAAATGATCACAAAAATTGTTCTATAGTAACCTGAGAGAATTGCTTTTTGTACATAAATATCGCACAATCATAATGAAAAATCTTTTAACCACTTTTTCTCTTATCGTTAGGACTTGAACTACATTTTCATGAGAACTATACCTTTGGGGAAATTCAGGGGCATTATTTCCTTGATATCGTGAAATATTCTAAAAAACAATGTCATTCGCAGAAATAATGTAGAAACAAGAACAAAATTGTTTTATGCAATCAACTACGGGTGTATCAGAGAAAATAGAACAGAATGAAAAGTTTCGGAGGTAGCCTCTAAACCTACCATTTTTGCTGACATCATTTGGAGAAATTCATTAAAATCTATCGAGCCAGACCCATCCTTATCTATATCAGCAATCATTTTTTTGATTTCTTCTTTCTTAGGTTCAAAGCCAAGGGCTCTCATTGCTACCTGTTGAAAAAGAGACGCAACAATGATGAATATCAAAAAATTGAAAAATTAAAAAATCATAGCTAATTTTGTCAAAGTATACAAAATCCGGCTTTTGTGCAAGATGAGACACTAGGAGTCTTTGTTTTGTATGTGTTCCAAAGCAATGTTTGTTTGGGAAAGGGCGACTTTGCTGCACTCGGGTGCTATATGTTTGAAATGACAGTAATACCTTTTCATGTCAATGGATTCTTAAATGCTGCTGGCATACGTTATTTTGCTCAAGAGATGAGTAGAGACATTGGAATTTTGATGAATAAAAAGAAGGCATGCCCGAGCATTTTCAGCAGATATAAGCAAAATTATAATCATAATTAAGATTTCATTTGGTAAACCCATTTGAATCAGCATTGCTACTTTTAAAATTTTGTCATAGGATCGACTGAAACTCTGTCGGTTGTTTCATCATCAACAGGGGCGTAGCTAATGGGGGGTGTAGGGGTGTGACCCCAATCCAATACTTCCAAACAGTTGTAAAATTCGGGCAAATACTCGGGAATTTAAAAGCACATATCACTAACTTGAATAGAGGTATTTATATAAAGACAGTAGCTTAATTTTCAAGATAAAATAAGAGAAGTTTTCTTATTTTATCTTGTTATTTTCTATAGATACAGTATATCAATTGAGATATATTACATATATTACTATTGAGATATATTAAAATATATTACATTAACTATTTTATGTTTTTCAGCGGAATTCTTATCAATTTATTTTTCGGGAAATTTATGGCAAACGGGAAAATTCGGGCAAAAAGTTTTTGACACCTCCCCCCAATACTTTAGTTATCAATACGCTCCTGATTGTCAAGGGTAAAAACGTACTTTCTTTTATAGTAAAATCTTTTACAACGTAGACTTGCTAAAATAACATACCTTGAGTTCTTTCGCATCAATGGTGCCCGACCCATCTGTATCAAAAAGATCGAACGCTTCTCTTATTTCTTGTTTTTGTTCTTCTGTCAGCTCTGGCTTTGGACCTGAATTCGAAAAAGAGAAATAGGCTACAATCATGAAGCAGAGATACATATCCTTGAACAAACAACATATCTTTCCTGACAGAAAAGTGCAAAAAAGGGAAAGAAATTTAAAACATATTGTACCAGAGATATCGAGATCCAAGTTCTGGCCATCTTTTTTATTTTAAATCTGTGGGAGATGCTACTGTCAAAATGACACTAACAATTGACAATACCATAGCAAAAAGAAAAAAAGCAACATTCCAGTTAATTCGTTCAGTTCAAGAGAGTACAAAACAGAACGGTGCCGTTCAGAACAGTACACTACAGTTTTAGAAAATGACACAAGACTTGGTATACAGAATAAATATCGTCACATAATTACATCACATGAAAAAATCCAAATATGAAATTAAAAGATATTAAATACAAATAGTTTTTCTCAGAGAAATCATTACAGAGCATCATCTTTTCAACAGTTCATGTGATGGCAAGTCAGGATTATACAGAAAAACATCTACAAAAAGCCGTTCTCGTAGCAAAGACAGTTTTTTTCTCTTGAACCTAAACAAGCAGATAGGAGTGCATGCATATGAAGCATACGTTTGTACCTCGTTTACTATGACTACCGACTGAACTTCCATGTTTCTTTACTTCTCTTAAAAGCTGTCGCTTCTCTGTCACCGACAAGCCAGTATACATGTGTTTTTTTATCCCATACTCCATGTTCTTTAGGCACGGAAAAAACCCTACACTGCAGTTTGTTTACTGAAACGATTCTCGCTTGCGATAACTACTACTACGATCGAGCAAGAGTTTGATGTTAAGAATTCTCTCGCTCTTTCGATTTCACCTGTTACACTTCTCAGGCTGTAGGCGAATGGTGTCGAAATGAGTTTGACAAGAAAGAATACGCGCTAACTGTTTTCTTGTATAAATACAGAATGGAATAAAGTTCTTGACAGATTGCCTCTGTTAGGAGGTGCAAAAATTCCACATTAGCAAAGGCTGGCCAAGAAACGTGTATCACAACTGGAAAGCAAGTAGCTACAAACAAGGGAATCAATTAAGACCCATGTTAATTAAACGGATTGACAGAGATCAATGCATTTTTTCTATACGTTTTTACCGATAAGCGGGAGGCAAAAGAGGGTAATACTCGGGTAAGCTTAATAGCTAAATGTCGAAGTGAAGTATTTCTCTAGCTTCTTGCGAGCAAGTGAGCATTTTATTTTATCAAAAAAGTAACTCCAATAGAGGCTGGTGCTGAAAAGAGGCTACTGAATGCTCATCGGCAGGAATCACGTAAACCACGCAGCAATCAAGAAATTAATTAAGCGTGTTCATTATTAACCGAGGTGCAAATTAGCAAAGAACGAAATAAGAAAGGGTGCGCGATAGGGAACTTGCATGACTACTAGCAACTTGGGCAGAGAGCAATTTAAGCAGTAATAGATAATCACAATAAATCACAGCTGTTTACAGAAAGAAGAACCGACAGCCTTTGCAATTAAAAACCTCAACCCGGTTTTATGTGGTATTACGCACGGGGTAGTAGCTTTACAACATAGAAGTCTGTGTAAAGGAAGATATAGAGGAGCATGTAGTGCAACTCAAAACATACAAAATTTCAGTTAATGTTTAAATATGCTCTTCTTTCAATTTTGATGGCTCTCTTTTCGAGTACTAAAAAAATTTCTATCCTTAAGAATTAAACTGAGAAAGTATTTTTTAGCTAGCAATGGAAAACTTCTTTCTGTAACTCTTAACTCACGAGAAAGTCCACAACAGTGTCCAAGCGGTTGAATGGAATGGGTCTGGTATTGTTATGTGGACTGGAGCGAATGCATTGCGTCAAGGCCTAAATGTAGTGGGTTATATTGAGTGCCATGCCTTTATACGAATAAAATACGGCAACTGCACAAATTTCTGCTAGTTAAATCAAATCTTTAGGCAGAACCTTAAATCAAATCGAAATTGCTTACATAGTGCAGGAAAGCATTTTGATGCACTAGTAATTTTAACTTTCATTAAACGACGTAAAATACCCGAAACAACATGTTACGAAACAACTTGTTGATAACCTTAGATTGTTTGGGTAAAGCCTACTAGGTTAGACAGGTGTCTGTGTTATCCCGAAACTAAAAATAAAAACTAGCTGGATGGACCTAATATGTAAATTCATGGCTTAGTCCGATATAGAAAAATTTCATATAATTTCGATTGGCTATTAAAATTTCGGTTTGCTAAGCATATTCATGTCTATGATACGGAGAAATAATGACAAGCATTTCCTAAGAACTGACCAACAACATCAACCACACGAAATACCTCTTCCTCTAGGGTCATTCCTCAAGCTTTTCTGCTTTGCGAGCTGGAAGTCGAAACGTCGTTGATGAGACGGGACTGGAGAGTTCATCACTGTACAACTACCGCGCAACCGCAAGGACTAAACGGTTTCGTATAACGAACGACGATACTTGCTTCCATTCACAATGTATAAAGTATGAGAGATAACCAATTTCTAGTTGCAAATACAAACATACCCGCTCTATTCTCACCCACCTTCGGGTCTGTTTCACTGAGCGGCAGTCCGAAAATAAAATTTGGATAAATAATAGGTCACCAGACAAATATTTGAACGTTTTAGAGCAAATTAAACATCCACTGGCAGGTGAAATGCGAAATCTTTTGCGCGGGGATTCCAGCTAGAAGCGAAAGCAAAGTGAAAACAAAATACAATAAGAGAAACGGAATTGAGCGAAGATTTGCTAGGAATGAGCACAACAAAAGATTTAGCTGATCTAAAGCCCCATTTCAAATATGGAGTTCACTAGGTAGACCTTGGATAATACCTTTTTACAATTGCGCAAGAAGCAAACGAAATTAATGTACTCTCACTTGAGTTTGAAACCACAAAGGCAAAGAAGGCAATGCCTAGATCGAGCCTTTTGCAACGATGCTCGTAAAAAACAAACATCCATAAACAATGTTAGAAGTAAAAAAACATGTCGGTCCTAGAGGCACGAAATAAAAATTTGATAAAATAATTTCAGCATGACGAAAGATTTATGGAGAAAGAAATACAGAGAAAACGAAGGAACTCGCAGAGCAGTCTGTTTCTTAAATCCTAAACTTCTTAGAACATGTGGATTATTTTCTACAGCTTACTGCTGGACAGAATCAAGAATAGATTGCTTTTGTTAGCACCCCCTGAGCCACCCCCTTCTCGATTTGACCTCGCAATTTCGTTGACCGAAGGTGGATCTACAGCCATAAGTCTGACTACGGCCAATCTCAGTAATGATTGATGAGCAGGTTACCAATAGAAGCAAGAAGACAGAATCAAAAAGCGACGAATTCACTTCTGTAAATTGAGCTCGTGTCATACTAACGGGTAGGTCAAGATATCTGAATTGAACAATACCAAACCAGTTGGTTAGACCTTTCGGCTCATTTTCAATAGCAAATAGTGTATAGAAAATTGATTTTGAATTTATTTCTTGATGCTTTGGTAACAGTCGTGATGGCAGAAAATAATACAGTTATAAATAGGTTGGATATTGCTGCATCATCAATAACTTAGCGTTGAATGAGACCCTTGCTGGTTGATTGTAAGCCCCCTCGTGTGCTACTTGCATTGAAGACGATCGCTTTGCTTTTCTGCGGTACATACAGATTTTGCACCCATGGAATATCCAGCCCACGATATTAGAGGGCTATCCATAACGACGTCATAAAGGTGGTTTAAATGCGTGCTACCTGCATTGAATTCCCTTGCAAAGGCCCTTGCAGCAAGATTACATTACATGCAAGGATTTTCTGAAGTAAAAGGACTCCCGTTATAATCCTCAATTTTGTTACGACAATTCAGGGCCGCAGAGAGGGGGGCAAGGGGGCAAATTGCCCAGGGATTCGAGGTCTAAGGGGCCTCTTAATGTAATGAATTTCATTTTCAAGATTGAATTAATGAAAGGAATCGAAGTATGCCTAAGTAAAATGTTTTTAACGATTGCAAGAAAATGATTGCAAGAAATATTCTGAACTGAGTTTTAGATTAATCTAAAGGTTTTGCCCCAGGGCCTCCGAAACCTCTCGGCTGCCTTACGATAATTCGGCGTGCAATACGAAAACTTTATGTATCAGAGCATGTACTTTCAAAGGGGGTCGACACTGAAATACAGAGTGAAAAACCCACTAAAATGATGCCATAGTATGATTTGAGATCAAACTCTTCAACGAAAGCAATCGCTTTGATAATAATTGAAAGTTTTGGAGTTAGAATCGGGTTGAGTGAGTACAAACGCCAATTTTGAATCTAAGGAGAGGTAGGAACGAGATGTTCGAAATGATGAATAAGAGAGTGCGAGAACATTAAGGATTTATAGTAATAACATAGGATAGCCTCATTAATAACCAAAAGGCAAAGGGAGACTAGACCATCGATTTTAAAAACAGATCCAAGCATAGAATTGAGGGTTCAAGAAGATCCCTTCTCTCCATTAGGATGTCTAACTCCCAAAATTTGAAAACCCAAAATCGCGTTCGTGGATTTTAAATCTTGACCGGGCATCTAATGTCAAACAGAATCTGGCATTGTAGCCATTAGTTTTCAATCATTAGTAATTTAGTTGTATGTAGTTTAACATTGCCTGTTGGCCATGGGGTAGCCAGTATCTTTCCCTCCCCTTGATATCGTCCATATGGTGTAGTATAGAAACTAGGTTAAGTATAGTAGAAAGTAACATATTTTGTAATATTTTATATGCATTGGAAAAATCTGGAAAAAGGAAACAATGCACTAATTTTGATCCAAAACCACACGTTGCAGAAAAGTCTTTTAGGAAAACAAACTTAGTGTTCATAACATTTTAAAGGCTGAATCATACTTAACATGAGACATAAAAATCAATTTAAGTCCAATACTATCAGATACAGTGACTATGGGAGCACTAACAGTCATTTCATACTTTGATAGAAATGCCCCATTTTAGACAAAACAAATACCCTGGTTCTGTTGCCGAATGCAAGGACATGAGCAAACCAGAAGAATATAACAGCCACGTATAGTTCTATAAGCCCAAATTGAATTTGCCAGAGACTCTACTTGGAGCAAAAAAATTAGGCCAAAGACGAACTTCTGAACAGAGCTCGATCTTAACATTATAAAAGAAACTTATTTGTTAAATACATGCCAGGTCAGCTCTGTCTTCTGCAGCAGCAACAAGTTAACTTTAATTGATTGTTTGCAGACCTGATAGACAGCAGACGAAAACAACCACCATCAACAGGTTATATAATCGTTAATTGGGAATAACTTGACTTTCTCTAAACAACTAACTCAGTCATATTGATGTATTTAACGATCACATGCACTCTCATTGCTTAAATTGCTTCAGATTGTCTCTTCAACGGTTTCAGGTTGTGCCTATTTTTAATATCATTGATCCAAATCTCAATCCACACTAAACGTACAATGATTATGTAAAGTAGATGTTCACACATACACCAGGAAGAATATACAATTTTCGATTAGAAAGTCAATTCTAAAAATATTTACTCAGCGTCGCAGAGTGAGGCTACCCAGGAATAAATCACATATTATTTGTACAATTTTCCCAAGTATTTTTATAATTATTTGTTTTATCAATGACGAGGTCTTCCAATAAACCCATCGAATAGTATCTGCTTAGAACACGACTTTTCATACGAAATGTTCACTTGAAAGGACCAGAAGACCTTCCAGATTTTTCTCAAAGTAACTCCTAAACTTTTGATGAAATTTTACCATAAGAATTGCATCGAGCTAACAAAACAGACGAACAGAGAAAAGCAATATACACGTGACACTGGATCGTCACTCAAGCCTAGCTATGTCAGTATGGTGAATAATTCATAACAAAAACTGCTTTTGAGATAATAGAAAATTTTTTTATAAACCATAAGTAAAACTTTTAGAATTATAATATCCATCTTTTGAAAACCATTCACAATGCAATTATGGTAGTTTAAAAAGATTAAACTTTTTACACATAAAAAGATAAAATTGTTTAGTTTTAAGACCTTTGATTTAAGAGTTTAAGGTAGGACATCAACAAATAATAGTGTTATTACCCACAAAACATTATATTTCCCCTAAAATATTGAAGGTAAAATAATCACCGCATAATAAATTGAGAAAAGATAGGTAGAATATATTCAATTAATATTTATCTTACATATTTCTCTTAGATGGGTCAGTAGGTGAAATGCTTCAGTAGGGGACATTTCTCTACAGAGGTGCAAAAAGATTGGATTTAACTGATATCACAAGTCGAGTATCATATCAAAACTTGCATTATGTTCTCCAAAAACATGACAATTCAGGTCATTGCAGGCTTAGATGAAACACAGGATTCTGAATTTTGAATTGCTTGATATGAAACATCAGCAGCGCAAGTCACGAAGAGACAAAAGTTTTACGTTAAAGGGTCTCGTGCAACAAGAAAGAGGAATAAGGTTATTGAAATATGCTTCACGAAAAATGTAGGTCCAAGTAGACAATACCGACAGGTTGCCATAATCCGATGGTAGACAGTAATTGACAACATTATTTAGAAGTGGTTTCTGTTTAAAGACAAGCAAAAAAAGTCAGACTACATCAAAATCACCAAACATACCAAGTTTGATTGGTCCACTGCCTCTGTGATTCCTAACACTAACACTTTTTGCACTCGAGCACCCAATGCCCATGAAAACCATTACGAAAATGTCACTAACTGTTCTTGGGGTGGAAACAGCTAGTGATTGCCTACGTCACAGTACTGTCTGAACACCATCTGCAGAGAAGCCTTTCTACTGTGCAAGTAGGGTTCCAACAATGAATTCAGAAAGACGAAACTAGTTCTATATGAACATCAATTAATAAACCGGCCACCTGATAGCAACTTATAAACTCAATTGTCGAAAGCGTGATATGAATAAGCGACGGGGGACCTGTATAATGACGAGCGAAGCACTCGATCCTAAAAAGCATCAGCATCATTATGCAGCAGTATGAAGGAACTTAAGCTAGCTTTTTGTGACAATTATTTTCAGATAATTACGAAAACATTTGGTATGGCTTTGCAAGCGATTGACCACTATCTTGTCCATTTTCCTTGCTTTAGCTTAACAAAAGACAAAGTAGAAAAAAGAGATAATCATTTCAAGGGGTAGATCGACTAAAATGTTCTGCTCAGAATTTGAAGCTCGAAATTTAGCGCGTTGAATGCGGATGTTTAACTTTAAATTAAAAATTATAGGTATGCTTTATGAAAAATTGCAGGTCTGCCGTATGCATCCATGCAAAAGTTGCACTTTAAATAAACCTAGCTTTGAAAAATTTGGAAGATAAGAAAAAAGACATTGTCAGGGTATTACACCTTCTCATAATCCAAATTCAAAGCAGCAACCAAGTCTGAAGAATAGCTAAGAGGAAAAAGCCTTAGGAGAAATCACTGCATGAAATCTCGCACACCTTTGGTCGAAATCCCATTGTTTAATCTGAAAACCCTGGAAATCCTTTTTTCGTGGAAACCTCGT